GCACCCTGCCAAAGCCTCTCACCCTCTCCAGTGTGAATGGAGCCAGGCACCTGAGTAATTGCCTCCCCACACCCTCCGACCCTGGAGGACTGGCTTTTGCTTTAGCTTCCCCACCAAATACTTTTGCTCTGAGCTCATTCATAAGTCTTTTTTATCAGGTGATTCTGTTTTGGCAAACGCTCTCGCACAGACTTCCTTTCTCTTTGTGGTCTTTTGCTAGAATTTTCCTATTTCAAAATAAATTCGGATGACAATGACGATTTCAACGTCTCTTGCTTTTATTTAATCTGTTCACATTGTTCCCACGCTCCCCACCTCCCAGCCCCCGGTCATCCTTGCCAAAACTCAAGGCCAGAGTGATGATGATGATGATGACCTTTTTAAAGTCTCCCACACGCAAGCACGAACAAACTGAATAGGAATGAAACTGCTACGTATGTTGTCTTCAGCGTGGGCACCCACGCTCATTTTTATTTAGCTTGTACTGGAATTCCATTATGGTATTAATGGGCTTCTCCCTAACTGCCACTGAAGCTGAACACATTTTTTTTTTTTTTTATAACTGGCCATTTGGATTTCAAATCTTTTGCTCTAGTGCCTGTCGTTTTTCTTATCGATCTCCAAGGAGTTTGTTTGTTTGTTTTTTAATAAATTCTGTGTGTAAGTCCTTGGCCAGCCCTGTTTGCTGTGGCTGTGTAACAATTTACATCAAAATGTGAGGCACGAAGTGGCAACTTTTTTTTTTTTTTTCCCTTGGATTTTTGAGACGGGGCTTCCTTCCTGTAGACCTGGCTATCCTGAAACTAGTTTTGTAGACCAGGCTAGCTTTAAACTCAGGGATCCATCTGCCTCTGCTTCCTGAATGCTGGGATATTAAAGGCAAGGTATAAGTCACCACACCTGGCTTTGAAAGGGCAACTCTTATCTCATTCCTGTTTGGGGAAAGCAGGAGCAGGCAAGAGGCATTTTTGTGACTCTTACCATTGGATGGGGAGGATTCAGG